TAACTTGGGGTCTCCACCAGGACCTTGTTATCCTCACCTATATGATCTATATGTCATAGGCCATGTTTTGGCAGTTGAATCTTATTTAAAGAATTTGGACATTTACACTACATTTGCCAAGCCCTGTATACCCTGTATATGATTTTGGTGTGTTATATTTTTGTTTCAGGTCTTTGAGTCATGACGAAGATTGGTTTCCCCTGGGGTCGTATGGGATGATGGTCCCCACCTTTGGAGGCATTGAATTTGAATGGCTCAACAACCAACAAGTGATGGGCTTTGGATGCTTTTGGGGCTAGAGTTGAGTTGGATGGTTGGACGGCTGTTTGCTGCAGCTTGCTTTTCCTCTCGCTGTGGCGCCAAAGTTCTGCGCTGAGCATTTGCCATCGGCATGACAATGTGGTAATGATGGCGGTTGTCGATGAGCGTCACTAGTCAAATTGGCAATGACAGTACATCTGCAAAAACATTCATATTTGTTGAGTTAAGTTGAAACAACTTTTTTCGAGTTGGTGTCCGAAAATAATGATATTGGCACAGACCCCAGAGAAGGACGCCGCCAGAATGAAACATGCTGAGGATTTTGCAAGAAACCAGGGCTCATGAGACGTTTCCAATCATCTCAGGGGCACAAAACATCTTCCATTCGCAACTCATTCGCAGCTGGCATGGATCTGTCACAGTGGGGGGATCTCAGCTCCACTCGATCCAGCCTTTTCCCATCCTGTGACCAGCTCTGTCGAGACAGTCACGTTTCATGCTTTAGTTACTTTAGGTGTCCAATTGTACTGCGGCCATATTCGACAGTGGGTGCATGATGAATAGGGACACACTATGGAAAGCATTTGCTCCGGAAAGGATCCCCCGGTGGGTCCTGTTTAGCACGATGGACTGATAGGAACCAACGTGCGCAATCAAACACAAGGCAAATCAAGTCGAGAGCCGTTCTTCAGGAGGTTTGACCGTGTTTTATCTATTAAAAATGATACTCTGCACCATCAAAACAAAACAACCCGCAGATTTACAGGGCATTTTCTATTAGCATTTACCCCTCTTTACCCTTCATCCAAATTTGTTGGCACGCAAACTTGATTCATTGAACCACCAAGATTACGCGCCAGCCGGCGTACCACACGCGTGTGGCAAGCTTAGAGTGAGATGCCCGTGCAAGAAGTGAGGAATTTCTCATCAACCATGGGGATTTTGATGGTTGTATTTGATGGTGGATTTTCTGAACCTCTTTGAGTAACTACACACAGGGAATTCATGCAGGGAGGTACTATCAAACATGGGGATTTAACATGATTTAATCACCATGAAAAATTGGCATATATCCAAGAGCAAACTGGGTCAGTATTGGTGAAGTCTGGGTCAATGAGTTTTTTTTGTGCAATCTCAGCATTTTTGCCTATTTTGGCAGGGTATCCATGATCAGCCGGGACCCATGAGCAGCAAAATCATGTTTTTGTTTCAGATATGGCCATGGTTCAAAACCATGCTGCCCTGGTTTCCACATCAAAACAACTGACAGCTATGTTCATTCCCTTTAATGTGGTAAACCCGAGAATAAACAATCCTCAATGATTGGGTATATATTGATATATATATATATATTGTTATTGATTATTCTTGGGTATACCAGCATTTTTAAGGGATGATGTGGCTAGCATGACCCCTAGTCATGGTTGTTTTAAACTGGATGGTGACTATGGAGCCGGAACTGCCAGGACCATTCAACTGCTGGGTCGCCGACAACGCTTGCCACTGTCCGGCTGCAAAGGGAACGAAGAATTGCAGGAATCCTTGATCCAACTTGGGCCATGGAATCCAGTCCAGCTGTTTGGTGGCAGTTTTCAGCTATGAATAGACATCAAAAACTCCTGTAAATGGGAGAATTTGCCATAGGGTTTAGGTCAACAAGAGGGTAGTTGCTAGGGGTTGCCAACACAAAGACTGGCTGGTCTATTTGAGTATCTTTTTTAGCCGGCTTTTTGGGTACAGTACTCAGGTTAGACCCAGTTGATTGTTTGGATAGGGACTTATTTGGAGGTTTCCCAATATAGGAGTACCCCAAATCATCCAGAACTAGACAATTTTGGGTATGGAAACCAATGGTTTCGGGAATCCCCCTGTGGACTTATTTGTAGACTATTAAGCAATGTCCCTTTGAAACAATTTTAGCTTCACATAGCAGTTCTAAGGCCAGAAGATGTGGCGGAAGGTTTGCATGAGGCGTCTGGGGTAGGGGGGAAGGTTCAAGATTTCTCTACGGCGACCGTCGCGATATGGATCTGTCAATAGGCTGTACCCCCAAGTATGGCAGTATGGCCATTTAATGGGGATAATGAGGATTAAACAATGGATTTGGGGGTCGATTTCAAGACAAAGCCATATCTAACTGGAATTTTTGTCTCCGGGATAAACATAGTTTAACATTTGTTCCCAAAGAGTTAAGCCTTTAGCAGGATCAACAAGCCACCAAGAGCAAGCTGCCAGATGAAATCCGCATCTTTGCTTGTGAATTCCCTATTTTTTCTTTAGTGACTCCCAATTCTTGTTGCTTGATTCCCAGGTGAGTGATTACCGATTTCTGCTGGTGAATGCTTTCCTCTCACTTGGACGTCGTTACGACCAGGCGATGACGCAGGTGGTGGCCGAACATTTTGAGGCGGGAAAACAGTACTGGCTTCATGGTTGTTGGCTTGATGGTTTCACACATCATATTGTTGAGAAAAAAGAAACATCAGATTCGCTAGTTGATGGTGATCCACCAACTAGCGTCCTTTCCCCAAACGAGATGTAGTCGGCCGGGGATGAGCTGAAGTTGTTTGCTTTATGCTGTGGGGTTCCTGTGGGGCCTCTCGCTTGATAGGTGCAACCACCGTTCACCTTCAGCAATGACAGAGGCTTGGGCTGGAACGGCGCCAGCTGAGAATGCAGAAACTTGAGGAAGCTGTTCCCAGGTGGCAGTGTGTCAAAACCTTATACCCCTGGTGAACATCAACATATCTGGTAAATGGATGTTCATCCCACTAAAAATGGTATTAATAGGTATTGATCCATACCCAGGTGAGTTTTCTCAAACTTGTGAAAAAGCAAACACCATTGGTCTTTCTGATTCATGCCAAAATTTCATCAAATTTACATATAACTCTACATATACAATATATACATTTACATCTAGATCTAAAAATTAAGTCCTTCATCTTCAGATCAATGGGATCAGTGGCGCTCCAAGCCAGGCTTGGTGCTGGAAGATCTGGAACTCACCGAGGCTGTGGAGGCGACCGGGCAGCGCACCTTGATGATGATTTGGCCAGTAATGGTTAGTACTAAGAGTACTAAGTTACTAGTGATATATGGTTGATGATGGCTATTGATGATTATGAATGATACAGGTGTATTCAATAACCATCATCAACAATATCACACATCAATAACCATCATCCAAGTACCATCCATTTTCCAATGTATTCATGGTTGATGTTGATGATGATGATGGTTGCTGTTGAGTAGACTGTTGGTTAGGGTCCGGCCTTCAGGCGGGCGCCATCATCGCAGCGCACTCAGCAACCCATGTGAAGCGCGAGATGATCTTTGTATTGGTGCAGATTTCAGGCTTCCGAGTGCCAAAAAGCATCAAAAAGCGACAACTAAGATCAAGTGAGAGATTTATGCTGTGATTGAAGACGCAATATGTTTCTGCGAGGCCAGTGATGGCGTTTGAACCTCCGCAGGGATTGCACTTCATTTGGGAAATCTGGTTAAACATATGAATCGTTGTGAGAATCGTTGTGAGAATCGTTGTGTCTCAATCAGCTTCTTTACCCTCCCTACTGGCATGTTCTCTGAAATTGACCAAGTGGTTCGTGACTGCGCCATGACCCCAAAACGACAACTGATAGATATGTATTGGGAAATACGCCCATAATACCTTTAAACTATATGTATATATCTATATATGTACAATGATATATATATATATACATATCTACACACAGATACAGAATATATATATACAGAATATATATATATATATATAAATAATATATATATATATATAAATAATATATATATATATATATATAAATAATATATATATATATATAAATAATATATATATATAAATAATATATATATATATAAATAATATATATATATATATACAGAATATATATATATGGTGCAGCGTTGGCCACCCCCCCTCCCCCCCCCCACCAATGGGTATGGGTGGACAGTATCGTCTGGTTCTTCTGGCCCCCCCCTGTGGCCTGTGGTGGTGGTATGGTTCTTCTGGTCCCCCCCCCCCCTGTGGCCTGTGGTGGTGGTATGGTTCTTCTGGTCCCCCTCCCCCTGTGGCCTGTGGTGGTGGTATGTTGGGTATGTTGGTATGTTGGTATGTTGGTATGTATGTATGTATGTATGTATGTATGTATGTATGTATGTATGTATGTATGTATGTATGTATGTATGTATGTATGTATGTATGTATGTATGGAATGTAAGTAATGTAATGTAAGGTATAAGGTAATGTAAGGTAAGGTAATGTAAGGTAAGGTAATGTAATGGTATGTATGTATGTATGTATGTATGTACGTAGGTATGTAGGTATGTATGTATGTATGTATGTATGGAATGTAAGGTAAGGTAATGTAAGGTAAGGTAATGTAAGGTAAGGTAATGTAATGTATGTATGTATGTATGTATGTACGTAGGTATGTAAGTAAGTAGGTAGGTAGGTATGTAGGTATGTATGTATGTATATACACCACCACAGGGGCATCATACCCCCCCCCCATCCCATGGGGGGGGGGTGGGAACACGGGACACGGGACCATATATATAAATTATATATATATATATAAATTATATATATATAAATTATATATATATAAATTATATATATATAAATAATATATATATATATAAATAATATATATATATATAATATACAAATCTCTACAAAGAAAACACTACATGTCTCACTGTCCCACTTACAGCATTTCCCAAGGCCCCCGCTCCACCCCCCCATGGCCCTCCAGCGCCCTGGCCATGCGGCGCTTGCGCCGCGCAACGGTCCCAGCACTGCTGGTGACGACGCTGACGACGTTGACGACGCTGGTGCCGGGACCGGCGCCGGTGCTGGGGAAGCTGACGCCTGTGGCTGGGCCGGATGTGGGGATAGGTTAAAAGCGTTTTAAACCTATGATTTTCCCATGAATATCCATGGAAAAATGGGTAAATCATGGGTAAGTGGGTAAGCATCCATAAATCCATCATTCAAACCCGTGATTTATGAATTTTGGGGATGAACATATTCATAGATATTCATCAATCTCAGCTATTTTGGGGTGAGGGGACCAGGCTTTTGACATACTTTGACATCCCTACCAAAAAGATACATTTGAATTTCGCAGTGGCTTTGGTCACTACTTGTGTGTCTGTTCTGTGACTGTGAAACTGTTTGGCAATTGGGGAAGACTCGGGGAAACCACCGCCCGCAAAAATTACGAAAGTCTCGCACAAAGAGGGAAGTGAGGCTTCCACACACACACACACAGCTTTTTTCTTGATTCAAGAATTACTTTACAGGATACCGCTATATTGTTAAAACGCATGGTTTCCTGCAAAATGTCAATCATTTTAGATCCAATCAAAAAGATCTAAGTGAAAACCCAAAAATGATGTATTTGGAAGACAATTTTCCCATTGAATGCAGCCAACTTATGTTGATTTTCACGGCTGGGGTTCAACTAGCCGGGAGTTTCAGCATCAGCCGTCAGCATGTTGCCAAGGTAACTGATGCAGACGTCGATTGCCTAGCCCAACGACACTTGGGCGTGTCTGAAACTGGGGTGGACCCCCCACCAAAAAGCACTTTTAAGAGGGAAAATGATGATAAACCATCACATTTGTTGGGTACACTATTTTCAGACACAGCCATTTCAGAAATCGTCAATTCCTCATGAAATTGTGTTCTTTTCCTGGCTTCTCTATTCTTCTTTGCGGTGAAGATATCAGCATGGACACTGAGGACATTTGTTTTTGAAGGAAAATCGCAGCTGGGATCTGAAAGATCGAACCATTGGTGCGGGACAGCGATGTCGCCACGGCTGGCCGCAGGCGGGGCAGAAAAATGGTGACCTCTGGAGGTTCAGCCTGGCTCCCATTTTTTTCACGAATGCGTGATTTCGGCTCTGATCAATGCGTGATTTCAGAGAGTTTCTACAGGACATCATATTTCTTATTACAACAAGGGTTTTCCTATGGTTTCCTATGGTTTTCCTGTGGTTTTTCCTATGGTTTCCTATGGTTTTCCTGTGGTTTTTCCTATGGTTTTCCTATGGTTTTCCTGTGGTTTTTCCTATGGTTTCCTATGGTTTTCCTGTGGTTTTTCCTATGGTTTTCCTATGGTTTTCCTGCGGTTTTTCCTATGGTTTTCCTATGGTTTTCCTGTGGTTTTCCTATGGTTTTTCTATGGTTTTCCCATGGTTTTCCTATGGTTTTCCTATGGTTTTCGCATGGTTTTCCTATGGTTTTCCTATGGTTTTCCTATGGTTTTCCTATGGTTTTCCTATGGTTTTCCTATGGTTTTCCTATGGTTTTCCTATGGTTTTCTTGTGGTTTTCCTATGGTTTTCCTATGGTTTTCCTATGGTTTTCCTATGGTTTTTCCTATGGTTTTCCTATGGTTTTCCTGTGGTTTTCCTATGGTTTTCCTATGGTTTTCCTATGGTTTTGCTATGGTTTTCCTATGGTTTTCCTATGGGTTTTCTTGTGGTTTTCCCATGGTTTTCCTGTGGTTTTCCTATGGTTTTCCTATGGTTTTCCTATGGTTTTCTTGTGGTTTTCCTATGGTTTTCCTATGGTTTTCCTATGGTTTTCCTATGGTTTTTCCTATGGTTTTCCTATGGTTTTCCTGTGGTTTTCCTATGGTTTTCCTATGGTTTTCCTATGGTTTTGCTATGGTTTTCCTGTGGTTTTCCTATGGTTTTCCTATGGTTTTCCTATGGTTTTGCTATGGTTTTCCTATGGTTTTCCTGTGGTTTTCCCATGGTTTTCCCATGGTTTTCCCATGGTTTTCCTATGGTTTTCCTATGGTTTTCCTATGGTTTTCCTATGGTTTTCCTCTGGTTTTCCTCTGGTTTTCCTATGGTTTTCCTATGGTTTTCCTATGGTTTTCGCATGGTTTTCCTATGGTTTTCCTATGGTTTTCCTATGGTTTTCCTATGGTTTCCTGTACATTTTCCCATGGGATTTCTCTACGCCCCAGGTGTTGGTCATGGATCCCATCTGGCCGGGCCATCGCCTGGGAGATGTGGTGCGCCTCACGTGTCCCCTGCTGGTCTCGGCCATCGATCGCTATGAGAAACAGGGTGCCCTACGAGGCGAGGGGCTGTGGGATCACCGTCCATGAGGACTGGATGAAAAAAAACCGCATGACTTAGTCAACCTCCATGATTTTTTTTTTAGGTTTTTTTTCGACCATTTTGAGAATCTTTCTATGAGAATGTTGGGGAGAAGATTGTTTTAATATAGTATTTCACAAAAGATGGGAGCGTAAGCTACCACGAGAATTAGTACGGATTGGTATACTTTTCTATCTTATTTTGGCAGCATTAAACAACCCAAGAGATGGGTTCTTATCCAGTGAAGGTCAGCATCTGCACTTTGGCTGGTGAATTTCTCCATTTTTGTCGATTGAACCATGATTTTTCTGGGTAAACCAGTAAACCACCCAACATTTTTTGCTGCTCCAACCCCAACTTTTTGCAACAGTTCTTAAACTTCCAATCTTTATTCTTCAATAATTCCAATCTTCACCATTTTTCAGTGCTTCAATTACCATCGATCTTTAGTTTTGAACTTCAAAAAACCCCAGATTTTTCCCCCAACGGGCCCAGGCTACAATTCCCGGGTCGCCAAAGACCCCGCCTGGCGCTCCCAGCTCTACGCGTCGCACGTGGCGCAACGCGATCTGCGACAGGAGCTGCTTTCAAAGGCTCCGGAAGAGGACAGATGGAGCTGTTATGGGCTTGGAATAGCCATGGGATGTGATGGGGATTTAAGAATTTATGGGGATACAATGGGAATATAGGGGTTTCCTAAAATGGGGGTACCCCAAAATGGATGGTTTATAAATGGATGATGACTGGGGGGACCCCTATTTCCCTGATCATTGTGCTTTGGAATTGTAGCATTTGCTCAGATACTTTCCTTGGAATGGGATAACCCAAGGAACAAAGATGGGGATTTGATGCACCGCCGGTTTTTTAAGCCCAACAGACAAGGATACACCAGTTGGTTGGGTTATTACGCACCACATTTTCAGCGGTTGTCATAGTGATTGGGGTAGTTGATGATAGCCCCCAGTGTTTGATGCCCAGCAACACCTCAGATGGACTTGGTCATTTGTTGGATTTGTGAGCTGTCTCCACATCTCATTTTATTTTTTTGGGTATCGACTCCCATTTTAAGCCACAACGTTGGCTGGTTGGATTGGACAGGTTCTTACCAACAAAAAAGCAGGATTTCATGCCAAGAAGAAAAAGGGTTCAACTATACAGTCTGATATAGTTGAATCTGTATCAAAACCCGGCAAATTGGCAGGTCCAATACCTTGCGCCCATCGCACGGTGGGAAATCATCTTGAATCAGTCCCGTGTCATTTGTTTGTCAAATACACATAATACACCCTCTTACCATTTGTTTTGCCTCACCTCAGAATTCTGAGAAGTGGCAAACTAGATTTTTCTTTCCTTCTTTTCCCATCTCCAAAACTGGGGTAGTTTGATGAAGCCCATTTTTTGGCCACAAAAATTGCCTAGGAGATGGCCAAGGTCCGCAAAACCATGGGCAACGCCACAGTAGAGTTGGTGATGGACACCGGGATTGCCAGCTGCTTGGGCTGCGCAGCTGAGCCTTCCAACGAGGGTTGTTCATTGGGCTCCATGTGGGAATCACCATGAGCAACAAACCCCTCCATTTTGCAGGATTTCCAAGTCCATCAAAGGCTTTCGGCCATCAGATATGATTGTCAGTCCACCACTGGTGTTGGGACACATTTGGAACACCGACATTTTCGGAGGGTAAGACGTCCCAATTCTTTTGACCGAGTGACAGCTGGAATTCGTCTGAATCACCACTGCTTGGAATCCCTGGCACCAAGACATGCGCTTCGACGCCAACTGCAGTGATGTGAAGTGCCTCCATGCGCACGTGGGCGATGAGCTTTCCCGTGGTGGAAATGCCATTGGTCGCCAGGCCATGGGGAAAACACCTGATTTTCGGTACCAAAACCATTCTCTTTCCAAGGTGTAGAAGGGTTTTTCTAGTCCGTTTCCAGCCCAGTTTTTTGGGGAAAACTTGGAATGATCAAAGTTCCTCTAGCCTCTGACTTTTGGATACCCTGAGGTGTTGGAGGATCTGGTCACAGCTGGTGTGGAGATTGAAGGTACTGATCAGTGCTGCGATCATTGCAATGCACCTGGGATTGGGATGGGTCAAGGCTCGTTGGATACCAATGTGGGGGTTCCATAAATGGGGATATACCCCAAATGGTTGGTTTATCATGGAAAAACCATCTATAAATAGATGATGACTGGGGGTACCCCTATTTTAGGACACCTTCATGTCAAGTAGAAAAATCCCATTCTTCTTAGAAACATCATCCAGAAATGTAGGTGATTTTTCATTAAAAAGGTTCGATTCCCACTACAAAGACATGTGTTCGCCGCAACGTAGAATGGAAGATTTTGGTGCTTTTCAGGACGACTGTTTTAGGAGTTCTCTGGAGACTAGCCGGGGGTGTTTCCACGGCTAAGAGTTTATATCCCATGGATTTTTTTGTTTTGGAATCTCAAATTCGATGACAGCTCTGACATATATTTTCCCCCCAAAATGCTGCATTTGGGCACTGGTTCGCTGGTTTCATGGAACTTTACAGAATGACAAGAGATCTGCTGACATCAGTTATCAGTGCATAGCGGTTAATTCGGAACAAATTCTTCACTTCCGGAAAGAATACCCACGGACCACACAAGCAGGGACCCCCAGCTATGACTTGGTTTAGGACCTCATCGAACTATAGAGACATTCAGCATAAATCCTAGGCATCCAATGGCATCCAACTTACCTATCGATTGGGGCCCCCCTTGCTGCAGGTAAAGATGCCTCTATCAGAGGCTCGATGGACCCTACAACTCGCCAAGAACAAGTTGGGCCAACGCCTGCGCCGCGCGCGCCGGCGCGAGGGTGTGCTGGACCCGCCTGGTGGACCTGTCAATCAGCGGCTGCCAGTGAACCAGCGGATGCCGCCCAAGAACTCCTACTTCACCTCCAGGTGAAGGTTGGAACAGAGCTGCGAAAAACTTCCGCGATGTATGTTGGGACAATCAAAGATGGCTGGAAACTCCTTGAGACCAGAGGGTTGACACCAAGCGTTTCCGTGGATTTCACGTTGAGATGACCAGAGGGTATCACCTCCAACTCGAGTGGCGGACGGAGCATCGCCCCCATCGCTGGAGGCAATGAGCCAAAGGGCGGAAAGAGCAAGGCCAAAATTGCGAGGTGAAAAGAGGGAGATTTTCTGACCCGACCATGGTGTTATAGTGCGGCATTCAAGATGCTTCTAGATCATAAAATGGTGGTGATATGTGGTGATGGTTTCTCTATCCAACCAGCTACCCCTTTCTATTGCAATCCCAGAAACCATTGGTTTAGTACTGGTCCGGCCATGATTCTCGGGGCCCAGTAGTGGGATGTGTTTAATATAGGCTATGTCATATCCCCATTTCAGGATTGTCAAACAACAGCAGCATTTTTGATAGTGAATCCCACTAGTCAGATTCTAAATGAATTACAATGGTGAACCAGAAACATGGGGTTTAAACACACACACATGTATATATATATATATGATATTCAATATCATTTAATCAATTTAATCAATTTGATCAATTCAATCCAGTTTTTTCATGGTCAATGGTCAACCATCCAGGAATTTCTAGTACAACAGTGCCTTAATTTTTTTCGGATGGTGAACCCCCACCCTGGCCCCTAGTTGAGGTGGCACACCTCAGTGACACGGCTATGCAAGAACTGAGCCGCCGTGTGCGCGGTGGCGGGATGCATTTTTGAGTCTAGGACTAGTGTAATAATATCCAATAGAATAGTGATATCACTATACAGAGTATATATTATTTCACTCGATATCACTATGTATATAGTAAATCCAATTCTGAATAATAGTATCTGATTTCACTATAATACATATATATATATATATGTATATATATATAAGTAATTTCACTAGGAATGGGATTACCGTATTTGTTTGGTAATTAGAAGTTAGATTCTTCTTCTTCTTCAGATAATGACATAATGATCGGTAACAATAATCCCATCCCCCTATTATATCATATTATCAAGCAACCCCCAATAGTAAATGGTCCCAAATGTGTGGGACCATTCCCCTTTTAAACCATGGTGCCTCTAGGGGTGTTCAATATTAAGGGGGGATGGGATGAGTGATAATGACACCAACCTTCTTCTGATTTTTAAAAAGATGCTTATTACTTATTAATTACTGTTCTCGTTACTCATTTTACTCATTATTTGTTGTTACAGTTGTTTGCTGTACCTTTCCCTCGATCTCTCGGCGTTGCACTGAAAGATCTTCGGGTGTCATGGGTAATCCATGACGACTGGATGATTTGGGGGATTTTCCCCATATTTCTGGATGCTTTGGGGTACTTATCCCAACACATTTACATATTTTGGGACTTATTACCTCGATATTTTTTGGAATTAGGGGCAATTAATTACCACCGTGTTTTAGGAATTTTTGAGACACCTCCACCTGTCTTTTTTGGGTAAAAGAACCCCCCTCCAGCCGTCAGGTACGACAGCTCCGGAATCTCCAGTGGGGCTTGGTCCACCAGCACCTGGAGTAGGGACACCGAGCCACTCCAAAAAATTGGGGCATTTTTGGGTTGGACAACGGGGGATGGGGATGAATTTTGATGATATATATATATATATATTGGATAGGATATTTGGATAGCTTATTTCTTTGGATTGGATATTTGGAGAATAGACTAGTGACTAGTGAGATATAGTTTTTGAGATACTGATTTTAGTAAGAATTGGACTGTTGCGATCATTTTTGGGATGTTTTTGTGGGAAGATGGGGCCCAGAGCCACAGCTGCCATGGCGTTTGATCAAACGACCATCATTTGGAGGTTTCCATAAATGGTGGTGCCCCAAATTGGATGGTTTATAATGGAAAAACCATCTATAAATGGATGATGACTGGGGGTACCCATATTTTAGGACACCCCTATTTCATGAGGATACAGATTCTTTAGTGTTTCTCTTTGTTTGTTTAGTCTTTGGTGGTTTCCAACATGTTCATTGATCCCACTCACAGGACCAGGGCGACCAGGGATTTACAGATCGGCTGAGAAAATCATGGGATGGATGATGTTCATCCAATGAATTTGACCAAGAAACTCCATGGATGGTTGGGGCAAGTCTCCCATTTTATGGCCATGGTTGGTGAAGTCTTGGAATTTCTCCTACATGTTACCCTGTAATCAAACATGGCCTGGAACATATTCCTGATTTATTGTTGAATTTGTTGATTTTCTCCCATCAAAACCTGGATTTATCGGGAATTTCCCAGCCAGTAGCCATGGTGGAGGGTAACTGATGCCGCCCAAAGCGTTGCACCAGGAAGACCCGGGTGGAACATGCCATGCAACGTTTGCCTGGTGAGTCCAGGCAGGGGTCGCGTTTGCGTTGCTGCCGATGGGCATTTTGTCTTCGAAGCTTCAACCAGGATCAAGTTCCAGGTGGATTTCAAGAAGACCCAGTACCGGCCTGGTAAACTAACAGTTCGCTATAGGAAATCACCATTTTTAATGGGTAAATCCACTATTTCTATGGTCATTTTCAATAGCTACGTTAAATTACCAGAGGGTAAAACGTGGGGTTTTGACTTTTCCGTTGGCTTCACTGAAAAGTCTCGATTTAGCGGTAGCGATTGCAAGATGTGTGCAGAATCAAGAGACTCCAGTGTGTTGAAATATCAGTACACAAGAATCGGACATTATTATGGCCACAGCCCATCACTATGGACTATGGCTATATTAAGCCACTCCTAAGAAAATGGCACCTCCACTAGTAACCCTTTAGTTTGGGAGTTCACCTGTTCGACAAAGGCCCGAGAGCCTTTTAGCGGAGCAGCTGGGGAGCGCAGTTCGTGAAACATATGGCAGGGGAGAGTTGATTTTTTTCAGGATTAAAGCAGCAATTTTGATGATGTGATAGTGATATGTTTGCTGTATCTGTTGTGGGACGTTAATTTGACCATCCAAGAGTTGGCAACTTGCAGACAATCAGTCTTCATCAAATAGTGAAATAGTTTGGTTTGACCTTTGTCTCATAGAAACTGTGGTGCATCAGTCAAGCGGCGCGCAAATTTTTTTCTCACATTGCTTTACTACAAAATCCGGTTTGATTCTTGCAAGTCACTTACATCCAGAACTCGTGCCGGCCCAGATCCAAACACCCTAGTCTCAAAGCTCTCAAAGAGAGCACGAGTTTCGGCGATTCGCCCATTTTCAATCCATGGATCCTGCGACATTTCAAGAGACACAGCAAGACAGGTCATTTTCCAGGTGTTTCCTTTCTTTGGAATCCATTTGGATTTTGGTCATCGAAACTTTGGTCATCGTTGTCGATCAGCGGCACCTTTTTCACAGCGGATCTGAGTGGCACTAGGCTCCCATAAATTGATCCCATTGATCCATTGATCCAGATCGCACCATCTCTGGATGGTCTCCGGAGCAGCACATAATTAAAATCACATCCCAGGTTTGGAGAACTCAGGATGGAGCTCAAACAAACGTGCGGAGCTGAGGATTGATGGTTTGATGCTGATTGATGCGGCTAGGGATATTTTTTTATTCATCAAGATGTATAGATAGGGATGTAAATGGGCATATCTTATGGTATTTGTCTACCCGAGTCTGACATGACATTTGGTGGATGTCTATTGGATGTACCAATTCAAAATACTGTACCCGGCCTGGTCAACGTTGACATAGCGAACTGGAAAGATCCACCATGTTTCATGGGAAAATCCACTATTTCTATGGTCATTTTCAATAGCAAACTGTTAGTTTACCAGAGGGTACACGAATCATGTGATGGGTAGTCAAGACGGTCAAGTCATTGGGTGCCCGTTGTGGATGAGTCCGACGAAAAATCACCAATATTTGCCATCCCAGTTTCTGGGGCCCCGTTAGGAAAATGGGTGATGTGGGGCCCCTGTGGGGCCCCTGTGGGGCTACTGAAAACGCTGAAAACGACTTCTGACAGCCTGGAGACCAAGGCTGTCATTGCGCCTGGAACGTCTGGAGTCTTCCATGGAAGATCGTTTAAGAGCCTTGGAGGAGCTGGACTCCCAATGTGGCGATCCTGGGAAGGGGGATAACCCAACACATGACCAACACATGACCAACACATGACCTAGGCAGATGCGAACCATAGACACATCTCTTGAAACCTTAGGGCTCTACGAATCTCTACTAGGATATAGCATAGCTGAGAGCATTGGGGCGATTTGTTTAAGATGTTTGATGTTGTTGAATCACCACACTTTGGTTGCGGAATGTCGGCTGAATGCAGAGTCTACATCAGCGATGGGTGGTAGCTATGTCTATATCTCAAGTTCTTGAACCTTCGAATCCATCGAAACAAGTCAGGACTCTTGGGAAGCAAAACTAGGCCGGCGATGGTGGGATCCAGTCGTATCTGCAATTGGGGGGGCGGTGTTGCAGTCCCCGGAGTTAAAGATGATAGACCAATCAGGTGAAGTCGTTGATCTTGGGTCATAATTCAGGGCTTGGGAAATGTCCCTTTTTGGTGATTTGTTTCACATCACCAAAACAAGTATTTGGAGATGATATGAAATTATATCCCCAATAGTCGGGTGATGTGAAAAATTAGGACATTGACCAACCCCTTCCTTCCTTTTGCATTGGAACTGTTGGAAGCCAACATTGGCTTCACCATCAGGATCCGTGCTGAAGGAAGTCAAAAGTGGCCGAGAGGCACCATGGGGTGATTGGCTTTGGCGGTTTCCAACATTTTTATTAAAAGAGGAATTTCTATGATGGTGAAAGTTTAAGGGTATCCCGTATCCCCCCAAAAAAGATCACCCCCCAGAAATTCAGGCCTTGGCTTAGCTGTGGCGGTGGTCACCTTCGGGTTCCAAACACCAAAAAGATCAGGGCAATCTGAAGCAGCTGTGCGACTGAAAAATGGCGGACACCTTTTACCGATAAGGAAAACGATGACCATGGGATTCTGGGGGTAGCCTTTCAGACCCACTTGCTCCACTTGCATGTCACACACGAAGTGATAGCTTGGGTTATGACGGTTATGATCCCAGCTTGGCGAATCAACATGTTAAGATTGCGATTTGTACACTTTTATCCTCTTTTCGGATAGGTGGCCAAGGATGTCATTGCATGCCAGGGCTGCCAAGTCCTGTTGCTGATATCCCTGAGTTTTCACCTCGTAGTGAAGTGTCATATACAGTAAAAACAGGTTCATCTATTACAACTGTGCCAAGGCCCCAGCTTCAATGGAAGCTTTTGGGAAAGCTCCCACTTTCCCGATCAAAACAGCCACAATTGAGGAGTCAATCTCTTGAGACACATCCGAAGTCAACATCATATCAAGTTGGTGACATATCTCCCAAACAAAATTCCGATACGCATAAACCATCCGTAACATGTCTGGTTTCATCCCAAATCATCTCTTCTTGATGGTTTCCCAGCTGGACCAGGAGCCAGCACCTTCACGGACTGAGCTGGAGGTCGCTCTGCTTGAGATTCCCGGATTGCGAATTGCCAGCCATGGTTCATTGCCAGTTGGGGTATTCTTTGGACCAGTAGATCAGCAGTTGGAAAGTTTCACAAGCTACCAGAAATGTAAATCATGATGGTATGGGGTGAAAGCTCGGATTACTGTATGTTGAATACAATTTCAGTGAGATATAGTGGGATATTTGATGATATTTGATGATATTTGATTGGCATGTTTCTTTCAATGGGTACCAAGCAGCAATGGTTGGCTATAATGGTTGGGATATCATGGGTCATTCCGCATGAACTTTGTGCTGTTTTGATGGTCCATGATGGTCGATCGTCCCAAGTACCCATGGTGAGGGCCTCACGGCGCGCTTGCAAGCCGAATGTCTCCAAGTCTCACGCTCAGTGCAAGAGCTACGGGAGGTGCGAAGGGGAAACCCGGGATGGTTTGCACAACTTTTTTTTTAGAAACTTCGTAAGAAATGACCCCCCAACGGAGCCCAGAGATATTTCCAGTTTTTCTTGGGGTGATTAAGATGTTAATATGGTGTAACTTACAAGTATGAGGAGGGGTCATGCCATCTTGATTCTAGAGATTATTGGCGGGAATGGACATTGCTGAAAGGATTCCAGGGTTTTGGTCAGCCATTTCCCACATAGAATGAACTCTATTGGCTAAACAAAAGCCGGACAATGTGGCAAAATCAGTTGGATTTCCCAGCAAAATCACCATGCCAGGAATGCTGCGAAGCAATCCAACGGGAGGCGCGGGGTTCTCGTCCGCCGCCAGAGTAGAATTCCAGAGGGTATGCCTCAATGACAAATCGCTTAACAACTCATTTGTATCTGTTCCAGAATTGATTTAACACACCTTGAAACCCACAGAGTTTCTCAATTCATATGTTGAGGTGCACCCAAGACTACCAGCATTTTGTGCCTTACAACACGGATGCAGGATCAGCACTAGACCGGGGGTTTCTTGGAATGGGGGATCCCCAAGTCAGCATGGGTTTCAATACTAAGATAGTCCAATTTTGGATGATGTGGGGGTATCAACATGTTAGGAAACCTCCACATCCCAGAAACTTGATGGAATCTGTGTTCATCCTTGGATCTTGGGGGGCCTTCGGCCTTAGATGGTGAAGCATCATCGTTGATATTCCAGCTGAGATTTTGGGCGGTTGTCACATATGGGGATGGGTCGAACCCTATTATATAATATATATATATATTATCATTTATTATCATATTTTGGGGAATAAACATCCATTAACCAGCCATATGAGGGTACCGTTTGGGTGCCAGGGTTTTGACTCATAGCCAGATAACTGCAGCAAGAAGTGGGGATATTCACATGATTAACCACCAACAATGCGGGATAGGTCCCAACCTCTCTGTGCGACGAACCTGTCCGCGCAGGTTCGAGCTCGCTTAGAGCACCATCGCAACTTGCAAGAGGAGGGGCAGCCGATCCCCGGTAGGTTCATAGGTGAATTGTTGGCCATAAAGAAGGGAGAACTTGATTTGATAACCAAAGGTCTAAGGTACCATGATGATATATGATAATCTTTATTTTTGCTGCATTTCTACAGAGATTCACATATCTTCGTTGATATCTTGATATTCACACATATCCATTTATGCCAATTTATGCATATACCCGTAGGTTGCTTGACTTTTCGGGCTCTATCCGAGGTCGGCCATGATAGGATCACCTGATAACATTAAAAATTGGTTGATATACCAGCACAGAATCGGTTGGGCATAGGAAACTTTTTGGGAACCTTTCAGAGGTGTGGATGGAACGCTGGAGGGAACCTCATACATGACACATGGAAAAAGCTCCACTTCACCGGGAGGAGTTTAAGGAGGAGGTCAAGACGCGCTTGCAGGTGCGAAGCATGGGACGCTGCCTTTTGATCTCCCCTTTTTCTTCTTGTTCGCTTCACCCTTTGGTGGTTAGGATAGTGGTAGGATAGTAGTTATATAGTCATCCAACACCAGCTTTTTGTTTCCTTGAAGAAATGTAAGGAACGGTGCCACTTAAGGCTCTTGGAAAGTAGAGACCAAACGGTTTAAAGATCACAAAGCCAAAGGTCGCTACTTCAAGCACTGAGCTGAAAGACTCATTGCAAATTCCCCGAAAACTGCTGGAACCGTCTCCCAATTGACAACTTTTTGTACTTTCTAGGGAAATCAATCTATATCAATCTATATTCTATAATTCTATATCTAAGATCTACATCATTCTATATCTATATAATTTATTATAATCTATATCTTGATCTATATCTAGTATCTAATATCAACTCTCTAGTATCTAATGTCCAATTTCCAGCATCCAATACTTATATATATACATATATATACATATATATATATATACATATATACATATATATATATATGTATATATATACATATATACATATATATATATACATATATATATATATACATATATATATGTACATATATATATTGTATATAATTGTATATATATATACATATGGGTAACTTGTACCGACCTCACTGCGACCTCACTGGAATCATGGTTAATAAGGGAAATCATCCCCAAATGGCCGAACCATTCAGGTTAGTGAAATACTATAATTTACCCACAGCCAGGTCTTTGGCCGATTGGAGCGCGAGATCCGGGAACTGAAGCTGGAAATGGCTGGGACGCCTATGGCCGATGGCAGTGCCAGGTGTTCCAAGATGGGTTTAGTGGGATTTTGGCGTAGATGTATAGATAAAATATATTATACAGATAAAATATATATTATATATTTATAATATATATATATTACTATATATGTATAGATCTATATATCTATACTATACATCTAATATATGGCATGGGTCAAGTTACCTATTATTAGCATATAAAAGGGGGAAATAAGCATCCAGCTATACAAGCTATTTGTTTGGGTACCGTTTGGGTGCCGTTTTGACTCACAGCCACTTCAAGTGGATTTAGCTGTTAGCCATCGACAATAGGGATTTCATGAGATATAATCAACCAGTGGCCAGTGGAATGAATGTTTCCCCTTTTTTGTCAAAGCTGTTTTTGGTACCCCAAAACAGCAATCTTGTTTACCCCAAGATCAGCTAAACAAACCATTTTGTTACAGGTAACAAGAGAGATTTACCTAACTATACAGTAGGACAATTTTCAGCTCAACGAAATTTTGTTGGTTTTTGACCTGGGTTTTGACCATGGTTTTCCAAGTTTTTTTCGCGGACCGCAGATCTCACCATATCTCACCGCTCGACGACTCAGGTGCCAGAGGTGCCAGACACATCGCACACAGCGATACCCAGGTGAGCGAAAAATTCTCCAAACTGGTGGTGCTTATGGGCTTATTATGGGCTTATTGACTTGGAAGCTGTCTACTGAAACAATGTGATTCACACTTGGATCTTAAGTTGCGACTTGGGTTTACCATTGAGGGGCGCTTGGACAAAACGCTTTTCTTATCCAGTCCCGGGAAATGATGTTTTTTGTTCAAGTGGATCAGTACCACCAATAGCAGAATTTGGCGAAGATTGACCATCAACTCACGTAGGTGTATCTGAACATGCTCCATGCATGTTTTTTTTTTTTTTTAAATAGTCAAAAACCGCATTTTCCCAAATTTTGTAATGGCCAAAACATGTGGACTACACCTCCCTTGTCATGATATTTCCAATCATCATTGCTACCAATGTTTCTTAAAACAAGTCTCCACGCTTACCAATCACCATTTTTCTCAACCAGCCTTTTCTTTAATCACCATTTTCACAACTGATTGATCGGTTATATCACCACAAGAGCTGCGCAGATTTATGGTGGTTTCTCATGGTTTTTCATGTTTGTTACCCTCTGGTAAACGTTTACATAACTATGGAAAATCACCATTTTTTATGGGAAAACTCACTATTTCTATGGTCATTTTCAATAGCTATGTTAGTCATTACCAGAGGGTATTGGTCAGTCATGGAGGCTTCCGAAGTCATGGGGGTACCCCTGGGGTACCCCTAGTTCCAAGTCATGGCTGGCTTCATCCTCGATTCCAGGCCCATGGGGAGCATGACCATGGCCCTTCCCGCGGTACGAGCTGAGGGCCAGGCCGCAAATTTCTGGGAAAAGCAAGCAGAAGATGGGGAGATATTATTTGGGCATGGGAAAATTGGTTATAGTGTTGAGATATATATTATGTAATAATAATAATAGAATAATAATAATAAATAATAACAATAAATAATAATAATAATAATTTTAATAATAATAATTTTAGTAATAATAATAATGACAACAATGACAACAATGAGACAATGAGAATATTAATGATCATAGTCAAATTATTCATAATAAATATAGAGTTGCCAACAGCATGATGGACACCGCCAGCTCGTCACCTTGGAGGTGGCGCCCTATGTCATGGAACCCCTGGCCTCGCCCTCGTCACCGTACCCTGCCTCCCTTCAAAGTGAGCAACTCATGGGTTGCGGGACCTGAGCTGGGCTGGATGGTTGCGGTTGTTTTGTGTTTTTTCACTGGAAAAGATGCAACAACTGGAGCATCATGATCTTCAAAAAGGGGATGTTCATGGGGATTCTCTATGAATTTGCTGGAGAAACATGGAGTTTTCACAGAACTTTCGATTCGCGCCACTGGCAGCTGAAGATTTGGGCAGTCTCAACCAAGGCTCCCCCAGCAGCAACCCGTTTTCAGTGCTTCGCTAGCGTGGCAGCCTCAAAATTGGATCACCCGGAGCCTCTTGAAGCTGTTACCGCATCTGAGGTCTTGAATGCGTTGGGATTTGCTGGATGAGTGGAGAGACCTAGGTGTTGTCATCGTGCGTCTTTCATCAAAACAATCTTGAATCCTCTCCCTGTTGGTGAATTCAAACGTTCTTTATTTGCATTAAAAAGCAGGAAGACGATCATCAATGACGAATCATTTTCAGGGGCATCTCTCAACTGCCTAGATCTGAGCATCAAACGACATCCCGCGCCAAAACGGAGTGCGGTGGATGTCGCAGCAGAATGTCCATTGAATTGGCTGGCCAAAGTAGCCGAAATGGCCATAGCATGCAGGTGAAAAAGACACACCCCCCTCCACGGTCGAGTGTGAATGGTTGTTGGGATGATTTCCTCCCAAAATCTGGGATCTCCCAAAGATTGTGCCGGGGACCATTTGATTGGTTGGTTATTATATCCCCTCATTTAAACACTCAGTACACAAATTACCATAGCCCCCAGCAATCCAGCAACAATTCGGGGGAGTTGAATGATACCCTGAGCATTCCATGGTTTTTCCTGCTAACTCGGACCATGTTTTCGTCATTCCACGGCTTGGGTCCCAGTGAAACATGTGCCGCGCTTGGGAGGTCCTACACTCCAACACCTTTGTTAATGAGGCGACTCCCGGGTGGTGCGCGGTGCGCTGATGAGCCGATGGTGGAGTATCAGCATCAGCTCAAAGTGGTATCCCTTGAACAAAAACAGATTTCATCGACGAGAAACATGGGGATTTAAGCAACCGGAAGTGAATTTGTTCACCAAGAAAACTGTGTTTTTTTTGAGAGGGAAAACTTGCTGGATTTACCACCCAAATTAAAAGGGGTAGATAGCACCTTGGGCCTTTTGATGTTCAGTCTCAGGGTTTCAAATTTAAAGGGGGGCAAAAAAGGTCAACAACATGCAACATACTTTTTACCTCATGTCCATGATTTTCCATATATCTGGGCAAAAAAAGGTGGGATTTTGAACTGATTAATATTCATTTCCACAGAATTTCCATACATAGTTGGCCCCCCAAATTGCTAGCTAAACCAGTTACTCTCTCCCCATAAACTAACAGTTCGATGTGGAAAACCCAGCATGATTGTAAATCATTTTCCTAGGGTGTCCCCATAGGTTTTCCACATCTTTTTTTGTGTTTACCCCAGGGTAACCAGCTTTCAATCTGCCAGGCAGTCGGTAATTCCCGCCGCGGTGACTGTGGCACCGCCCGTGGCGGAGCTGGTGGCAAGGTCGATTGGTGCCAGAATGGCATGTCATTTTTTTGTCGTGTCTCATGAATTATAGATTATATTGGATATGATATGATATCATAGAGATATATGATACGGGAGTCGTTCTAAAGGTCCATGTAAGGGCTTCTAATTGCCAAGGCCGCCAGGGTTCCAACATGAGTTCCGCCAAAGTTTCTTTTTTGTGTTCTGAGTTCGCTAAAGCGTTTTTTTTGGCGAAAGATTTGGCGACCGACTTTAACATGAGACCCAAGCGAAAGATAAACGTGGGTTCGCAAAAGATTTGCGAAAGTAATATTTTTATTCGCGAAGAATGGCCGTTTGCAGATAAAGGAATTTAGAACAACCGCCATATATATATATATTATATATATATTACCTAATTGATATAAATATGTATATATATAATATACATAAGAAATATAAACATGTATAATATATATATATATATACACGTACATTATAGATAATATAAAATGATTTGGATATTGAATGATATCATCTATCGATCCATCACGTGCCCTGCCAGGCAGGCCGGCAGTGTGGCGGGTTGCAGCAGCTGCGCCTCTGCAAGAGGTTGGCATCCTCAGATGAAGGTCTTGGGCCGCAAAGAGATGCAGATTTCTGAGTTTCAACTAGCTCAAACTGTGAGAAACATGGTACTTTTAACAAAATTAGGGTGTAACCAAGAAAAATGGCGAAGAATGCTTCGTAGAAGATCAATAGGAAGCGAAGCGAATTGGTCCTTATCAGCCAAGAATATGGGGATGCCTCGATGATTTCTTCCTCTAAACCAAGCATGCGGTTTGACATTTTTATGGACATTTCAGGGATTGCCGGAGATTTATATTCACGTCGCTTCGCGACGGCAACCGCCCGCACCGCATCGTTGGGCAGCCGCTCGTAACTGCCAATGATGTCGGCCATTGAGACCAAAAACATCCGAAAGTACTGATTGTCGGAAAAAAAAACGCGAAGAATTTGATAGCCATGTATAGCGGACCAACGCAGTTCAAAAAATAACGAAAAACATGAAAAAACGGCGAAATTGCTGTTATTTACAGTGTTTTTGCGCGGTGAGAAGCAGAAACCACTGCAAATACCATGGTTTTTGAGGGTCAGGTGGCCAAAAACACTGTAATTTACAGTGTTTTTTTAACCAACGTCAAAAAACACTGGTATTTACGATGTTTTCATTCACACCGTAACATAAAACAGCGTAATTTACGAGGTTTTTGGAAGTTTTGAAGCTAGCCGTCAAGCATGCAGAAAACAGAAAAACACTGTAAAAACCAGTGTTTCTGCTATCACAAAACGACGAAAATCAGTCCGAAAACGGGTCCAAAAACTCAAAAATCCGCCTCCGGGCCAGGCCACCTGCGGAACCGCAAAAAAAGATGTTGCAAACCAAAAAATTGAGGTCAAAAAGTTGAAAAACACGGGTTTTTTTCACTTTTCGCTTGCCGATTTTGGACGGGCGCGTTCACGAACAGGTGTCTTCCGTACTGTTTTTTACAGTGTTTTTTGAAGGCGAGCGTCACGACCTATCAAAAACAGGAGGTTTTGGCCGAAAAATGCCCCCCCCCCAGGTAAACCTGTAACCTTTTACGAGCGCCATCCGGAAGATCACGCCCCAGCACCTTCGGTGCGGGCGGATTTTTTTGGAATTTAGATGGCAAATCACACCAAGAATCCATGAGTCCCAGAATTCGTTTCATGAAAAAAAACAGCACCCCAACTTTCTTTTTTCTAAATCAACATTCCTCACATTCCAATCTGCGGCTAAAAATGACGCGCTCATTGAACTTTCCTGGATCTGTTTGTATGAAATCACTAGGCAGCTTGGTTTCGATTTCCGAGGTCCTTCTCCAGAGCCAGTGGTCTGGCGCCCAGCATCACTTCGACAGTGGAATGGTGGTGAAATGGTCCAGGAATCAGGGCGGTCAGAGGGAAACGGCGGTTTTCGGAGCCCGAAGCTCAGCGAAGCTCAGGCAGTTGGCAGGAGGAGCCCTGTTGTGCAGGGAGGCCCTGTGTTTTTCAACGCAGGTTGAGTGGTCCAATGGTGGTTCACTAGTTGTGAAGTTGGAGGATCTCAGAAAAGTGCTGGTGACCACTTTCTTTTGAGGTCACCTCCAAAGTTGTTACCACCAGCCCGGGTGCCACAGAGATGCGCCACAAGCAACTTGGGCTGGACATGCCATTTTTTCAGGATGTTCGTGTTAAGAAACCTCCTTAAACTTTCATGGCAAACTGTATTACACACATAATAAACATAATTTCATCACAGATTCCATCATTATACATCATGTATTATACATATATGGCTTTGAGATGGAATCATGACTTCATATATACATATGGCCATATAATCACAGATTCCATCATTATACATTTCCATCATTATAATTACCCTTTGGTAATGACTAACACAGCTATTGAAAATTGCCCAGTCGAAATTTAGCAGATTTTCCCAGCTATAAAATGGTGGATCTTTCCAGTTCGTTATGTGTCAGTTTACCAGATGTTATATCCCATTAAATCCCATTAAACCACCATTTTCCTATGGTTTTCCTATGGTTTTTCCTTCTTCATTTCATGGCAAACCATTGAACCTGGCGCGCCATTCCTTCAGCTCTCAGGGACGATCACCCTCCAGGCGGGCGGGCTTTCGCCATGCTTCGCCTTTGCGCCCTGGATGGGTTGGAGAGTTCCATTTTTCATGTGGATTTTGTCATTTTTCGTATGGATAGATTTGCCATACAATGGCCCATTATGTTTCACATTTGTCAGACAACAGTATATCACATGTATATACTGCCATCAAGTATGTGGGTGACTGGTTCAATCACATGGCACATTCGTAATCGACCAGAGATCAAAGGATAGTTCCATTTTTGGAGAAGATCAATTTTTATAGATGACACTCATTTTTTTCACCAGAGATGTTTGATATGGCTGCAATGGATTCCAGATGTAGCTTGGTGCGACAGCCTGCAGGCCCTGTGGCCGCATCGTGCCTTCCTTGAGCGCCAGTAAGGAGGACCCATTAAACATATTGGAATGATACATATTTACCCATGCATCGAGTTTGGCAGGCTTGGGTGTGCATGTATCATCTTCAAGTGTTCAATGAATGCTATCATTTTGGCTCAAGTAAACTTGAACCAAAATAGCATTCATTGCTGTTTTCTTTCTCGGTCATTGTAAGGGGCGACCTTACTTGACCTTGATTGGTTGGTTCAAACTCAACACAAGGGGTGACCTTGTATGCAGCGCAAACTCCCAGGCATTGATATCCCAGCAGCCACTGAGGCGAAGATCCTGCATGCGGCTGCGTTTTTGGAATTCAAGAACCACGTGGAGAGGCTGGCAAGGGAGGATTCGGGCCCAGCAGCATACACATGCTGGATGCATGGTATCGAGGTGTTGCACTCCCCCTACGTTCTCACTACTGGGACAGATTGTGAGTTGTTTCCCCCCT